CACCCCAGCCAAACCCACACACACAGTCCCACCCCGTGCCTGCTCCAGATTCACCTGCTCAAACTGAGCAGCAGCAGCAGTGGAGACCACTGGGCAGAAACTGCTGCTCAACATGGGAGAAAAGTGGTCCCACCCCTTTGCTGCTTCTGGGGGGCTTCTTGCTGCAGCCTCACAGAGCCCCAATTCTTGCTGCAGCTTCCCAGAGCCCATGCCCATGCTGCCCTGCCACTTCTCTCTGCTGCTGTCGACACCATCTCTCTGCTGCCCAGCAGGGCAGTGGTGGCAGTGCAGAGGAACAGCTGGACAGCCCAAACTCGAGCTCTGGGTGGCTGCAGCAAGAAGGGTCTGGCAGCAGTGAAAGTGGGGGGCAGGGCACTTTTCCCCTCCGCTGAGCAGCAGCTTATGCCTGGCCACCATTGCTGCTGCCGCTCAGCTTGGTGCAGGGCAGGCTGGGGTGTGGGCATGGGCTGTGCATGTGGGTTCTGACTGGTCCAGAGCTAGTCCAATCCACCAGGCTGAGTCCGGAGCGGGTGAGGGGCAGGTCAGCAGTAGCTGGGGCCAGTGGCAGTGGCAGTGGCAGCCAGAAGGAGCCGCCATCACCTCCAGGGCTGCTTAGAAAGGCAATCCAGCTGCAGAGCCACCTTGGCCCCAGGGAGCAGTGGGATGCGCCATGGGATAGATGGCCCCTGGGCCAAGTGAGACCAAGGGACTTACTGCAGGCCAGACAAAGTCTCTCCATGGTCCAGATCCAGCCCATAGGCCATATTTTGCCCACCCCTGTGCTAGACCAATATCCTATGACTATTCATAGTCTTGCCAGTGACTCAACTTGAGCCAGGGCCCCACAGGGTTGCAGGGTCAACTTAAGCCATGAGGTTCACTTGATCCCTGCAGGGTTGAATTGAGTCATGGTCCCACACACACGGCAAGGAGTCCTGCTATGGCCTTAGTTTTATCCATCTGTGCTTGATGTCCATTGTTCATAAACCTAAAAAGGGATGGACTCCTTTGGGCCTGGTGAGATGGCTGAGTCTCCCAAGACTGAACATTCATGATGGACTGCCTCAGTGCCATGTGTGAAGGGTGTGATGATTGAAAAGTCTTAGCATGTTTCCAGGGGGTGATGAGGGAGAGGAACGCTACCATAATCTTGTGCCTGAGTTTCCCACCATCTCCTGTGCCTGAGAACATGAGAGTGCTGAGTCACCCAAGCTATGAATGCTCCCAGGCTGACCAAGTGAACTGGTGATTTGGTGACCACCTTCCAAAACAGATGACTAAGAACTAGCAGCTCTGGGAAGTGATGACTACCCAAGAGTAGCAGCTAATTTGTAGTTAGAGGCACAATACAGTGGTTAGTTCTATCAATCCTGACCCTATTGCAGTTCCATCAGCCCACTGGGGCTTTACCTCCAGGGACTGTAGACCCAGCCCCATTGAGAGAAGTAAGACTCATGAAGACAGTCCCAGTCATGATGTCTGAGTGAGCGGCAATGGCAGTCCAGTGGGCTGTCTGAGCAGTGCACCCTCCTGTTAGCCCTTTACCTGACAGGGAACATACAGACTGTGTATGGCTAAGGCCTGGTAGCAGAAACTTATGCTCAGAAAAAAGCAGCCATACTGGACTGCCATGGTGTAATGGAAGAGATGATCCAGGAGGAGAAAGATCAGCTGGGCAGAAGAGACCTACTAGTCTGAAGAATGGTCTGAGGCCCTGTGGCAGGGCACTATTTGTGCCTGCCACTTTAAGGATGCAGCCAAGCAGCCAGCAGGTGCTTGATTGAGGCGGCCATTTTAGATCCCTGGCTGCCTATATGAACAGATCAGTTCTAGCTGCAAGGCTGCTTAGAACAACCTGGAGGTAAGGGCAGAAGCTGTAGGGGATGGCTAGGAGGCTCCTGTCCTGGGCATGACCTAAAACTTCACCCTGTCGGGAGTGGGTGGCCTAGTGGGGCTCTCAGTGGCATGGGAGCCCCCAGGAAATACCAGGCCAGTTACCACCCCGGTGAAAGGTGGGTTGGGGTGCCTTAATAACCCCAGCTCCCACAACTGGGTGGACCATCCACTAGTAGGGTCTATAGGGCGGACCCAAGAGAGAGAGTGGGGCTAGAGGCTCAGAGGCCTGATGTAGAGTACCCTTGATTGGTCCATGCTGGGGTCAGGACCAAACCGGTCAAAAGGGCCAAGGGCCTGCTGCAAGGGACGCCCAGAGCTGAGGGCCTGGAGTTCCGACTGGCCTTGGAGGCCAGGCCAGGGCCTGTGTGGCCAAAGGTCCTGGGGGGACCACACCCGAGAGGGGAAATAGTTTCAAGGAGCTAGGGAGCCCTGAATGAGGGTGGGATAGGCCATCTGAGTGGAGGGATCTAGTTTGGGTCCAAACTGGAGGATTCTGGGGCCCAGTGTGGGGCCAGTGAGATTATGCAAGGCTTGGGCTGCAGTATAGGGGAGGAACAGAGCCACAGATAGCACCCCCTGGCATCGGGGCAAGAAATAGGCAGCCTCCCACCTAATTAAGATAATTAATTAGATAACAACAAGGCACGGCAGGAGAGAAGGTGGGCAGCTGGCCCAGAACAGGTGGGCGGGGCCATTGGTAGATGGGCCTCAAGAAGCCTCCCTGTTACAGGCCCTCATCTGCAAGAAGGGCAAGGCAGGGAGGAAGCCTGGGAAAGTTACAGGAGGGCACCAATTGGTGAGAAGAGCATCTTGAGATAAGGGAAGAATCCAAGTGGGTTGGCATCTGCTCCAGGAGCAGAGAATGGGGG